TGCTTCTCCCTCTCCATCCACCTCTCCCCCTGCTCATGCTTTCTCTCTCTCTCCTTCTCTCTTGCTCTCTCTCAAATAAATAAAATCTTTAAAAAAAGAGAGAGAAGGAGAGCACAAGTGGGAGGGGCAGAGGGAGAGGAAGAGAGAATCTCAAGCAGACTCCACACTGAGCTGAGTGGGGGGGGGGGTACCCAACATGGGGCTCAATTTCATGGCCTTGAGACCATGACCTGAGCTGAAACCCTGTTGGATGCATAACCAGTTGTGCCACCCAGGCGCCACTTTTTTTAAGGCCTTTTTTTAAAAGATGTATTTATTTATTTTAGAGAGAGCTGACTATTCTTGAAAGAACTACTGTAGATCCATTTATCTAAGCATTGATTGCTCAATAAAGGCACAATCAAGATGAAATGGGCAGTGGATGTGGCACACAGTCTTGTCACACCAAACTCTTAATATTTTTTAGAAGTTTTAAGTCCTCAGAAACAAATACTTGTGACACTTTACCAACGGACACAGAATTCACATCTTACACAGATGTATTAATCATGAAAAATTTTTTACAGATTTTATCCTATGTTTTCTAAAAACATATCTTTTATTCATATTTCTTAATGCATATTTTTTATTCAGATTAGCCAGCTTTGAAGTTCATTTTCATAATGCTTTTGAGAAGTACCAGAGTTAATGTTCCTTTGAAATAATTTTGCCTGAAGCAACTCTACTTACTTATTGTTGCATCGATGATCTGTTTTGCTTCCTGTCTCTTGAGACCACAGCAGCTTTTCTCTAAAGGATGCTCTTATCTGGTCTGCCTCAGAATGCATCACTTTTATTGGCTTCCTTTTTTACTGTGGAGTTTCAGTTAAGTGGGTGGAAATTCATTGGTAAATGGAATTGCATTATTGGTCTTTCCATTCTCTGAAGCTTTTCATTATTTTTAACAGCTTCTTAGATATATACAAATCTTCATGTTCTCCCAGTCTTATTTTTTCATATTAATTTACCAGCAACCCAGGCTCTTTCCCTATGAACCCTTATCTATAAAGTCAGGTTTTTGTTCAGCATTCTCCTATATGACTTTTAAACAATTGTTGTTACAGCTTACTATTAATAATCACTGGTTACAGTTTTGTATTAACAAAAATCATAGCCCTTAAAAAATCCCTTAAATGCCCCTTAATATAGAATTTCACTTGTCCTTTCTCAAAAATATGTATGTAATTGAGATAAAGATTAGAAGGGAATATGTACAAATAGAAATAATGTGTTAGGGTGGTAAGGTTATGGGTGATTTTTAAAAATTTTACTCAATTCATTAAACTTTCTATGATACCCCGATTATATTGCATTCTACATTGACTCAAAACCTTTTTTTTTCAGGTGGTGACATGTCTAAGAATGTGAGTCAGTCGCAGATGGCAAAACTGAATCAACAAATGGCCAAAATGATGGATCCAAGAGTTCTTCATCACATGGGTAAATACAAAGTTGTTGCCAGTTTATAAGACACAGTTTAATTTATAAAGGTTGAGTTTTAATAAGCCTTCTGTTGTGGGGCACCTGGGTGGCTCAGTCGTTGGGCGTCTGCCTTCGGCTCGGGTCATGGTCCCAGGGTCCTGGGATCGAGCCCCACATCGGGCTCCCTGCTCAGTGGGAGGCCTGCTTCTCCCTCTCCCACTCCCCCTGCTTGTGTTCCCTCTCTGGCTGTGTCTCTCTCTGTCAAGTGACTGGATAAAATCTTTAAAAAAAAAAAAAAAGCTTTCTGTTGTGATATTATGAACATCTGTTCAAAAGATGTATGATTTGAAGGAAATGGCCATCTGAATTCCATTGAATGGTTGTAATAGTGCTATATAATTGAGATTTTATTCCCTCTTCTGCTGCCATCTGTGTGATTTTTGAGCAAGATACTATTTTTGAGCAAGATACTTCATCATCTTCTGTTAATGTTTGTTCCAGTGATCTTTTGCCCTAGTTTGGAATCTGGGTATTTTCAATGATGAGACTTTGAAATTATATAAGGATTTTGAAACCCAGTTATACTTTTGCTATGTGACCTATGAAGAGTTCCTTAAATTTTCTGAAAATCACAGATAATATCTCATCAGGAAATTGTGACAGTTAAGTGAGCTAATGTATATGAAGGCATTTATCAGCTCTGGGCATATAGATGTTTAATGAATGGCGAATTCTTTTCTTCCCGTAAGTCCTGTGAAACAACTCTTCCACTCCCCAGAATTGGTTACTATTTACAACAAGACTCTCTTGGACTTCCCAGAAAAAATTCTTTTGTTTAGATTTATTGACTCCCTGCTGTGTGACAGGTACTGTTCTAAGATCTTTTCATATATTATTTACTCCTTCTAACTTGATGAGGTAGGTTATTTTTTTTCTGTTTTATAGATAAGGATCCTGGTGATAATACAGATTTTTAATTGGTATGTTCTTTAAGGCTGATGACCAAATTATAGTCAGATCCCAGTAAATTTTTTAGAAGTTAAAGTACTTATTTGGCAAGAGTAATATATGTTTCAAGTTCCACTTAATAATTATCTGATTTTACTCTATTTTTATTCTAGGTGGAATGGCAGGACTTCAGTCAATGATGAGGCAGTTTCAACAGGGTGCTGCTGGCAAT